AAATCCAGGGTGTTTCTATCACCTTCATTCATCTTAATTCAGTCTAATATGAAGCAATTGAGAAACAATCATTCATATTGATTCTGTTATCAGACAATAATAAAAGGTTTACAATGAATAATGCTAGATTTCTATTCAAATTAACTGTCTAACATTTCATCATTATATACTATGCCAAGTGTATTGTGATTGTACAAGAACTCTGACATGATGTCGGCTCTTATTAACAAAGGAATGAAACGTTTCATTAATGGACCGTTGCTTTAATTATAAACACAACCATACAACTTTAGGGATAAACATTTTGTTGAAAAGCACTGACTATTGAACAAAGAATATCCCTTTTCTATTATTTCTTTATTAGGTTCTACAGTTATGTATTCATAATAATGAAAGAAATATTGTTATTGACAACATTAATGTTTTTTTAATTAACATGGAATCATCAAAATATCAAGTTATTATTATTATTATTCCCTTGAGTTTTCAGTGGAACAACACAAGGCCTCAGTGGCACGTCTCCACTTTCTCCTGTTCTCTTCAGCTGCCACTATGGTTGCTCATAAGCTTTCATCTTCTCCTCATGCGATCTACATCATGGCACCCTCGGACTCATACCTAAATCGTCGTTTCTCATTTGGTTCCACTTGAGCAATAGCCTGGTAAGTGATGTCACCCAACGGTTTCCTCAGCATGTGTCTGACTCAACTGCATTTCCTTCAGAATAATTCTTCAGCAACAGGTTCTTGATTGGCTTATTCTCAGATTTTCTTGTTGCTAATCCCTTCTGTTTGACAATCTGATCTTCGGTATGGGACCGCCATCTATTGATAAAAATTCACAGTCTATTTGGAATGCTTTTTGTGACATGAACAACATGTCTGTGAAACACAAGGAAGAACCAACTTAGCATCCGATTTTAAAATCTGAATTTCGCCCTTTATGCTGAGTGAAAAACATTTCCAAACTGATTTCAGAGTGACGGAGATCCAGCTTGAGTTTCCGATGTACACTGGTTTTGACATCTTCGTCCGTACCGTCGCCAGTAGTTGAGACGATGCTTCCTAGATAAGTGAAAGATGTGATGCCGTTCAAATTTTCAATACCGACCGTTATTTGTGGATTTTTTTGTAGGTGAATGGATGTCTTGATCGCTTTCGTTTTCCCTATGTTCACCTGAAGTCCTGTCTTCACAGTCAGCCTTTTCAGTCAATTTGTTAGTTTTCACCTGCAGATCTTTGAGTTTCTGTGACATAAATCATAGACCATCTACATGCCAAATCCAGATATTTTAGAGTCTGCTTACCGGTCCAACGTACTCCTCTCTTCTCGCTCATCACTGTCTGATGCCCAATTTGGAATATCATCACTTATAATAGACAACTTTGTCTTACTCCTGCATTCACTTAAAGACTTTTCTGGGTTTTCTGTTGTAAACAGCTGACACGCGCCATTGTTGTGGTTGATGTGGTTGTTTATTGAGGCTGATAAGGACTGCACGCCTTGGTGCTGAATCAGTTTCCAGTTTAATTCTCTGCTATTGCTGCTGAAGACTTTTCCAGAGTGAATGAAGTTAATGCAGACACTTGACTGTCATTCTATGCTTTGTTCGGTGATGATGCATACAGTTGCAATTTGACTCTCATTTGATTTGCTCTTCCAGAATCCATCCTGTCTGGGACGGAGTCCTGCATCCAGTGTGTCTTTTATTCTCTCCAGAATGACGCTACTTAGTATCTTGTTTGCCGTGGACTTGGCACCAGTTCTTGCAGAGGTTAAAGTTGGCTGACCTGATGCGATAACTGTGCATTCCACGTGAGTGTTTTTCCTCAAATTTCCTTTATATTGGAAAACCTAGAAACCACGGAAATATGTCTACTATCCTTTGCGTGGACCTTTCTTACGTAGATGTCTTCTTTTATCTGATCTTCTTGTGGAAAGGAAATCAATAGACGAAGACGATTTTCCCTTGGAATTCTTCTTCACATATGTGAATTTGTTGGCTGGATGTACCTCATTGAACCGATTTGTTATTGGGCATGGTGTTATCCAAGTGTTTTTCATACTGGATGAATGTATCATCCATATATGAGCAACAAAATAAAACTTTGACGATAAACCTTTCTAACAGAAAGTTTTCTAGTCTACTAAGGAAAATGTCCGTCAACATTGCGAGGAGCCCAGCGCAATCCCGTCGATCTGTCCATAGAGTTCAAAAACAAGTTGACATTCTTGGTACATTTTAGCAGCAATCGCTTAAGGATTTCTATCCGTATTGCAAGATTTAACGGTTTATCATTTATTTGTTCACATATGTGGTTAGTCAATATAAGAATAGAACTTGTGCACTGTGGTATAGTTTAACTCCATTATGGATGAAATTGTATTTTGTTAAAGTCTCATAGTGTTATACGGTAATATTTACTGATGACATTTCGAGCACAATTTGTTTCTGATAATCATATCAATCATAATCATATCAAGGATATGATTGTGAGCAATAAATTGTGCTCGAAACATTATCAGTAAATATTACTGTATAACACTGGGAGACTTTATCATAATAAATTTTATCCATAATGGAATTATATGGTTAGTTGTTTCAATAAGAGGTACATTTGTGAAAAGTGATGTGACAGAAGCTTACACTTCTCTTCTTGCTTAACTAAAGGATGAGTATTTCGTGTGGGGAGTGATGTACGATGATCCGCAGGTTATTGTTTTACATCATCTTACACTTCATTGTATACTGAAGTGTTGTTGAGATAGAACAGCGTTTAACTACTGATAGCAGGGAAGCAGATCAAGTTTCTTCGCCTCTCATGGATAACAGATACAGAAATGTAATAAGGTTAAAGTGAAGGAAGTGTATTCTGAGATGAAGAAGACGAAAATAAAAGCGACTGAATGTAGAGTAAAACATGGATCAAGTTCATTCGATACAATACAAAGACATATAATATAACTAACTAAATTTTCATTGACTATATATGATCAAGGCATCTTTGCTTTGATGTCCTACTTTGAACCACGCCCTCAATTGATTTCCAACCTACAGAAATCCTTAACCAATAAGACGAGATACTCCTTGAAGAGTATGCCAACACTCAAAGATCCTATTTTGTTTTATTTTTAATTTTATTCCTTTATGTTCCCAGTGGAGTATAGGGCTTCAAGCTAGAGCTTTGAAGTTTCGGTAGCAGCAGTGTTTATTTTATTTTACAGAGTGAGACTGACCGCCTCATAGCCAACCTTCCTTCCTTTCTCGGATTTACTGTAGACCTAGTGAGATACAGTAGTGCGTCGGCAGGTGATCGAAACCCCGACAACATACATGGTTGGTTAGCATCCTACTCTAAACTATGACCCTATCACCTCCTGTATTTTATTCATTCCTACAAGCCAATGAAGATATTTGGATAAGCATTCATTCAGCTTTCGCAGCATATGGAGGAAGGTTAACAACAGCACAAATAGATCTGTCTTTCTTACACTGAATCCTGACGCAAATCCGGACCTAAATTAAACTTCACTTAGACTGAACATATGAAAAGATTCTGAAATCTTCTATACTGTATATAGATCATTTTTCATTCCTTCACTTCAAAGTCAAACATGGAGCTTCAAGCTCTGAAGTTTATGTAGCGGTTGTGTCATGCCTAAGGGGGGAGGGGGGAGCTGCTAGTCTTATGTCCAGTCTTATCTTTCTTTTCGGATTTATTTTCAGTTAGCCAACTAGATGAATGCAACAGCTGAGAATCAACCTGGGACCTCACGCTTCTTTGTTGATCATTTCACCAGTGAACCAACGGTGCGAACTGCTTATATGCAGTCAAAGCAGTCGCAGAAGCAGTCGAATCTGATAGAACAGAAATGATTAGAATGGAAATATGTACCAATGAGGCACCAGATTCCACTCGAAATGCAAGTAACGAATAGCAGTGACAGTCAGATTGAAAGACTGGAGAAAATATGATACTGAGATGGATATTTTCTCCGATATGGAGGGTCCAATTGTATTTTGAAGTTGTTTCCATAGATTCTGAATAGAAGTCTTCGCACTACAGTAGTAGATTCATGAAATTATGAATTATTGGTTGGAGAGTCTAAGTTCCACACTTTGCGCCACAGGTTTTAGCTCATCCTCAGATCTCCAGTGCTTGCATAGGCAGCTGACTGACTTACCTCTTACACAATACGTTTAGCGCATTGTCATCTGCTTCCTTTTTAATAATAATAATAGCCTTATTATGCAAAATAAGCTCACCCAATATGTATAATATTTTCTCTTCATCAGGACTTTCAAGAAAAACAGACATCTCCAGTACATCATGTGATTTTAAATCTGAAGAATAAAAGAATCGTTTATGGTGTAACAGCAGAAGACAAGGGCCAGACAACAGATCGTTTATTAAGGAAATCAGCACGTATTTATATATATTTCATGTACATTATTATAGCTTATTCAAGCAGACAAACACAGTCTTCTGATTGGTTGTTTCTTGCTCAAGGTTATTCTCTACTGCTTGTGACTGGTTTCACAGCAAGTCAAGCCATATATCTGTGAATCGTATTTGCCCAGGTTAAGTCTGCTGTGATTGGTTGTTGAATCAGTCTTGTTCATATTTCCTCACGGCCAATATTAGCGACCTAGACATTGACGTAAATTAATGTCTACCAATTAGCTAGCAGCCTGCTTTCACTACAATGGTATTTTCCTTTGGTCCCCCAGAATTGAGCAACAGTAGGTTGCAAACCAATTAAAAATGTGCATGAGTACACTTGTCGACCCACCGACATAAGTGAATGATTATAACAACGATAACTAAAGAAATTAAGATGTACTGTCTCGGATGAAAATTCAGGTAGCTCAAGGAGGCCACCACATTCAAGAAATACAGTATCCTGTAGGAATTCATGTTCACAGGTTATTAATAACATTAAAAGGTATATTATTGCATTAACTATTTCATTATTTATTTTTAATTTCATATCTACAGAAATTGTACCTCAGTATCATTATCTCCATTTAAAGTATTCACCGGTGGTAATATTACTAACAGAATGAATGACACCACAAAAGTCAACAGACATTGTATAACCCCTGAGGGTCAATTTGAAGAAGGAATCATATCATTAATCAGTCAACCATTACATATATATAATTATTATTTTTGGATACATTATGAACCAGCGATTGAAAAATTATTTGAAAATCCTAATGATCGTCGAATAGAATCTATTGGACGTAGAACAGATTGTTATATTCAATTAACTAAATATATCCGTAGAAATGCTAAAGGTTTTATTCAAATTATGGTCAATATTTTAGCGCCAACTGCATCAGCTTTACTAAAATGCTGTAAGCTATTCGATGACAAATTTCCAACCTTCTATGCTAGTGCTAATCTTTTACTTGAATATAATGATTTAATAGATTTAACAAATTTTCGTGTATTTCTACCAAATTTACGGAAGAAACTGTCAACCTTTAGTCTCTTACCTACTACTGATTATCTTTATAGTAATATATACAATGATTTTTATGATAAAAATAATTGTAAGCCAATATCAAATCGACATAAACTTTTCTATTCAACAAAATCCTTAAGATTTAAACCATTTAAACAACAACTGAGTCATACTACTGAAAGAATATTAAGTAGACATCGTCGACAATATTATTATTCTCGACAGAAGGGAATTCCAATGAATTCCAATTGTCAAGGTGAAATGATTAAATTTCTACCGCTTTCTTGTACACAGAGCTTAGATTATTATTTTACACATCAACAACAACAACTACCTTTGTCTAATATTTATTAGTATTCAGATGAGAAAAACCTGAAAGTAAAACAATGAAAATGAAAGAGATTGGAAACAGACAAGCTTAAAAAGATATAAAGACAAAATAACTAAATCCAATTGTGTCAAGATAATCTATCTATCTACTTTGTTTTGATTTTATCAAATTTTGTTTTAATGATTCAATATTAACGAAAATGGAATGACCTTGAGCCCGAAAATTCAAATTAAAAAAATGGAAGCGTGTAACTACAAAGGAAAAATCGATATTATCTGTACAGAACTGAGGAAAGGAAAGTGTACATTCTGTATTTGTCTTTTCCTAATTTACACTTCATTAATTATGATTTCATTACTTCTCTTGGTAAAGATGAGAACTAATGTGAGTTATATAGTTAAAGATGATTGAAAAAAAACTTTCCTGAAAATAATTAATAATTAATGAACAAAACGAATTTGGGTGTGTGTATGTGTGTGCGTGTGTGGGTGTAATTTTCCATTGTTTTCACTTCTTTTATTCTTCAGTCTTTTGTTGTTTACCAGTGGATGGTTGAGACCTGATCAGTTATTTTGTTCACATATTGTTAGCTTTGTTGACAAATGGAACTGCTCTTCACTGTAGTCTATTTACCCAATTGAGAAGTTTGCTGTTGATAGACCTATAGGTGTGTCTATCTCATTGTTAAGTTATATGTGTATATATACCTTCATGTATACGTGTATGTATGCCTCATGAACGAAATAAGTATTACACTGGGTGAAAACAATAATAACATATTTACCGATGTTATAATATGTGGTTATTTCTAGTTAGAAGTATCGTATATTCTGAAAAATATTAAAATTTCTGGTGTTAGTTTGATTTCAGACTGATATCAGCTGAAGAAACACTAAAAACCAGGGAATATTGGACAGGTGTTTCGTTCCAGTTTGAAATAGTTCGGCAGTATGCACCCACTGAGATGCTCACTAGTGGCTACCCCCAAAGGACAAAGCTGCCCGAAATTCTAGTGAGAAGTAATAACCAATGCAGTCCAGCACGTGGGGCTTAAGAAGAAATACTCGCTGATGACAATGGTTTCTGTGGTTGTGCTGAAATCAAGAATTGGTAGAAATTGGAATTTATCGGCCACTGGATACAGTCTCAGTGGCTGGTTGGTCTACTAGCTTGCCTGGTAGCCGGAAGGTCTTGGGCTCGAATCCTGGTAGTGGGTGTGAAGACTCCCAAATGAGGACGAAAAAGCCGTCCAGTAATCCCTACATATTTTCACTTCTTCTCTAACTGATTTCAGTCTGTGATCAACCATTTTTCAAAAGAACAAGTACACACTGCAGAAAAATCATCCGTCCTTACAGGAAAAGGAAAGAATTTCACAGCAATAGGCATCCAGTGGACTTTGCGAGGAAATACTGAATAATCTCATCACTAACAGAAGGATCCTTATACCAGACATAAGAGTATTTCAACCGAAGTGTCTTCCTCATTTTCTGTGATTCATAAGCTTACGGAAGCTTTCACGTTTACATGCAGATCTTCAGCGGTATTTACGCATGACTCCACTGGCAATGGAACCCAGGGCTGTCAGATTACGAGGCCAGATCACTGACTATTCAATGATCCATTATTTCTAACCTATCACAATTTGCTACTAACGGCACGAATACCACGATGAACGCTTTTTATTTCACTCTTTAAAACATTGAGTATGATTTTTAACTTCTTGATAATTACACAAAAATGAATATGTGAAATGTATACTACTGATGAAACAGTTTTATTTAAAATAAGTAGCTTTGGTAAACTTAAAAATAGAGCACATGGTAGTAAATAATGCCATCAGTTTAGTAGCCTATAGATTCATCAGCACTTAGCATTAGGTATCTGCCTTTCACTGTTTTAACTGATTAATCTGGCAGTTAACCTGCCTGTGTCTGAGGTTCAAAAGAAGGATGTTCCCCTGCCACACTCGTGGTGCACGGCTTTATTCCCAGCCCACGCATTGCTAAACCTCAATTAACTGGTAGTAAACCCATTAGTTAAACCCACACCAGTAACCACCAACGGGAGAGATTCAACAGAGGTTGCCTCCTTCACTTATCTGTGCATCGGTGACACAGTAGTTAAGACTCTCGCTGACCATGCACATGGTCTGGGGTTCGATCCCTACCGACGCACACCTGATATCTGTGGTCGGCTTGCAAAATTTGGGCTACCGATATCACATGCTGAAAATTCCATACCTGTACCAAAAATACTGTGTGGAATCAAGCTGAAATCAAAAAAACATCTACAAACGGAACGGACGAAGATGTCCAAGTCAGAATCGGAAAGGTAAGATACGCCTTCATCAATCTGAAACCAATTTGCAAAACTTCCGCACTTAGCATAAGGAACAAGATTCGCATTTTCAACACCAATATGAAATCAGTCAGTCAGTTCTTCTATACAGGTCAGAAACTTGCACTGTATGTCACGAAGAAGATTGCCAGCAGGTCACTACTGAATTTCATCAACAACTGCCCGGTTCACTAGCTCCATACTGAAGATCAAATGGCCAGAAAGATTAAAAAACTAGAAATCATAGGAACAAACCAACCAAGCGTCGATCACTCAACAAATATGCAGGAGAAAAAGAAGATGGATAGGGTATACATTGAGAAGGCCATCAAATGACATCGCCCACCAGGCACTCGGATGGAATCCAAACGGGAAGCGATGAGTGGGTCGTCAGTGCGACGGTGACACGGAGGAGATTGTTTGGGTTGGGAGATGAGAGAGTTTGGTCAATCGTGTTCCCCCAGATGAAGAATACGGTAGAAAACAGAACTGAGAGGGGAAATGTGTTGTTGAAGGGAATAATAATAATAATAATAAAGCCCGTTAAACAGGGGAGATTGGGTGTGAGGTTGGCAAACCCATCCTATGGAAAAAAAACACCACCAGTGGTGAAACTTCAAAGCTCTAGATAGACATCTGCAGTCAAGCATCTTCAGCATGTAACCCTCTGTCGTATAAAGTTAAGTTGTTCCTGTTAGATCTGTAGTGGGGGAAGCGTGTACCTTGGTTTAACAACATCGTTCGTCTCAACTAAATTATTCTTATTAACTGGATTTCTATTAAGTGTTTCTAGTCAACATTAAACAAGTACAACTGAGATAGAGAATAGTATAAGCGTACGGACTTACTTATTTTAATATTACATTTACATTTGCATCCTTCCGATATCACTTTCAACTAGACTCATTCTTCTATCTACTCTCCTAATACTGTAATTAATTGCAAATGCATGACGTTGACTGTATGTATAATGCGTATAAAGTGAATCTAATGTATAACATCAACTAGAGAAGTTTTTTTATATTATAGTTTAATTTATATGTATATATTATTCTATTAGATAAAAGATTTGAAAACAATTAGCTTAATGCTTACTATCTATCTCTTCAGTAGTATATCTTTTTTTCGCCATATTAATAGTTTGCTTTATATCTAGATATATATTTACACTAGTTGATGAATAGAAATGATAATGGATTAATGTAAATCTAACTACATAATAATCGGGATGGTTATTTTTCATTAGTATTACTATTAGAATATGAATTGTTGTTGTTCGATGGGTTGTAGGCACTGTGGAAGGAAGCTTAACCGCCTGACCTAGGTTTAGTGCTTGTCGACATATGTTGACAAGGCCGCATGACAGAATTGACTGGTAGAATTCAGTTTGTGCTAACACCAAGGGATAGACACGTGTCGAATAGTTCACTGGTAACACCTTTGACTTTAGAACTGGGGGACACCGGTTCACATCTCAGAGGGAATATGAGTCCCTTGTGCAATACTGCAGAGACGTCTTGATGACTGATGAGTGTCAACAATCACGAAATCTAGACCAGGCCTATTACCTTCAACTGTCAGATCTGTCTGTCTAGATTCAACATAGAACTTGGCACCAAAGTGCAGTAGCAACTCGTATTGGCCATGTTTCAGAGCCATAGTGAAGAACGGAGCGAACTGCTGAGCAGTCAAACATCCCGTGGTTGATAGCTGGATGTCACGCCTACGCCAGAGATGGCGTAAGTCAGCGAAAACAGCTCGAGCTTTTTGGATCCGTGCTTAGATTTCATCGCCAATCAGTCCGTTGGTGCTGACACAACTTCACAAATAGCTGAAGTGGTCAACATGTTCTATCACTTCACTCCCTATCACTAAGCTAGGGGTTGACATAGTACAGTCCTATAGCAGCATCTTACTTTTTACAGGGGCGAATCGCATGCCAAACATACGAAGATTGCTGCTCAAGGTGTTCAGAAGACTCTGCTGGATTTTGTCAGCATCCTCCCCTAACAGGACTATGTTATTGGCCTATGGAGCTGGATGAGTCAGGTAGGGATCTGGGAGTAATATGGAAAAAGATAATGTAAAGGCGAAATGATAACTTGTGATCAGTCATGCAGATCACAGAGAAGCGAGCGGAATGAAGGTGTGCTACTGAAGATCTCTGTTCTGTTTGGAATGCAAAAGACGATTGACAGTAATAGTTATTCTTTACTTCTCCATTGAATTATGAATTCTAGATAAGATATGGAGTAGTATTCATTTTGGGTACAAGTTGTTTCAGTTGTCATAAGTTTTGAGTACAATGTGTTTCCCATTTATTATTATTTATTTATTTATTTGAGTTCCCAGTGGAGTTTAGGAATTCAAGCTTTGAAGTTTCGGTAGCAGTTGTTTCTTTTAGGGGAGGTGGTTACTAGCCTCATGTCCAATCTTCGCTCTTTACCAGACTTACTATCGGCTAAGGGAGGGATCGAACCCCAGATCACTGGTGTGGTTGGCCAGTGTCCTAACACTGAACCACCAACTCACAGGTTTCCCACTAAGTAATGATTCCCTACTTATACAACTCTTTTATAAGCGACACTAATGTAAAATCATATTTAAAATTAGTGTGGAAACAAACTCTAAATTTATATCAGTTTCAAACTTTGTTTCTGTTATCGAGATCTAGATAATTCAAAATTACTTTTTCACATGGAAAACCGCGCTACCAACACCACTGAACCACTGTGTGATTACTCATTTATCATTACTATTCAGATAACTCTAATTCACTGCTGCTCTACGGATCAGAGACTTGGCGCACGTCACGAAGAGAACTTCGAACAAACTACGGGTCTTCAACAAAAGCTGTCTTCGCTCAATACTACTCAAGATCAGACGGCTGGCCAGAAAAGATCAGCAACAGGGATTTCTGTCAATGAGCGAACCAACCGAGCAGGAACCGATTGTGCAACAAATATGCAGGAAGGAATGGGGGTGGATTGGACATACTCTGAGAAAACCATCGAAAGAGTGAAAGCGCACGACAGGCCATCATTCTAGTGGAACCCAGACGGGAAGAGGCAAGGTGGTCGTCAGTGAGAGGATGACATAAAGGAGGTCGTGTGAAGAGGAGGTGAAATCGTGTGGGCAGACATGGAGATAGATGAAAACTTTGGCAGAGAACCGAATGCAATGGAGACGTTCGGCTGAAGGCCTATGTTCCTCTAAGAACTAAAGGAAACAATAACAATAATAATAATATACATAACTCTAAATTTCATCAGCAAATGTAATGATGGTGATTAAACAGGGTGTAATACAAAATTAGGATCGTAGCAAGGTCAGAACGACTGGCCCTCAAACTGTTAGCCCAGTATTATACCAACTGAGCTGCAAGATCAAACTGATAATCAAATTTTCAAGTATTGGTTTGTAAGCATTTCGTTGATTGGTTAAAGGATTTCATCATGAGCTGACATTGGTTAGGGAACCATTGGAAAACCTGCAGGAAGTACTGGGCAGCTGATTCATCATACTAATTCGGGACTTTGAGCAGTACGTACCCATCGGGGTTCGAACCCAGGAATTTCTGGTTACAAGACGAGCTCGTAGACCACTAAGCCATTACAGTCAGTACGCAAAATGTTCAAAGGCTTTTGCTCAGCTATTCGCATAGATGCTTCAAAGATGTCTTGAGGTCCACAAGATGTTATTTGGTGGCTGGTGATGGCCAACAATATAATCTAGAACTCATCCTTTATCATGTCCATGACTCATTCGTCGTTGAATGTAACTTCATCCCCAGTGAGTGTTGCTGTTCTTCTTACAGAAGTTGCTGCATTCTGACGAAGCCAGTTTTGTTAAGTGTGCTGATGATTGTTTTGATGATGACTGTTTCTATGTCAGTCACATCTAAGTTAGATTGTTCTAAAGTGAACAGCTTTCTATCGGAAATTAGTCAGTAGTCTTTATCAAATGGTCTTAAGATAAATCCCTTGGAATGTCAGACTGTTGACTTCACTTTCAGACAAAAAAGAGATTTATATGATTTAGTTTGTTTCCCGATTCTCGTATCATAGATGGTACTGAGTTTATTTTATTTATTTATTTAAACGCAGAAAAACTTGGTACAATATGGCACCAAGAAGGATGCACCACACAATAATAAAAAAACAACATAGATAAAAGAAAAAAAGAAGGAAAAGAAAGAGAACGGATAAAGAACTTCATCCGGAAGGAAGACAGTCATGCTTAACAAGTTCAAGCAGTGTTCGTTAACTATCATCGGGAAGGGAAGAAAGAAGGAAATTGCAACACGTTCGCCATTGATCACGATCCTTGGCCATATCCGATAACGTTTCGAGCCATCGATTTGAGCTATCTCGCGGACCTCAACCAGGGAGTCGTGACACATCAACCGATGCTAATCTAGCACAAACATCCTTCATCCCATGACGCCACGTCATGGACTGACCACCCTCCGCCTTTTCATCACTCCCGTCCCAGGGCTAGCGAACAGAGACCTGTACGGAAGCCTCTGGGGTGACATTCGGAGCACATGTCCAAGCCACCGGAGCCGGTGTTTCCAGATGACGACACTCAATGAATGGTGATCTCCACTGTGCTCAAACACACGCCGCCGAACATCAGAATTACTCACGCGATGATGCCATCGAACACAAGCAATCCTGCGGAAACAGCGGTGATCGAACACGCAGAGCCGCCGCACATCCTCAACTCGGAGAGGCCAGATTTCATAGATATGTGTATACCAAACTGAAAAGAAACATCCCACTCTTAACCTCTCTTGTGTGTTCTGCTGTTGAGAATAATCGTCATCAACATTATGGATATTTTTCAAGTAATATCGAGCTGTTTACGATCAATGGAATTAGTTCATCCTGCATAGTCAGTTAAGGGACAGATAAAGTCTATTCACAGATATATTTTAAGTATTGGTTTTTGTAGGGATCTAGTTTGATTAGATGGAGGATTTCATCATGAATTAACATCAATTAGAGAACTACTGGAAAACCACCTGGGAGTACTGGACAGCTGTTTCGTCAGCCTAGTTTGGGATCCTTCATCAGTAGGAACCTGTCGGGGTTCAAACCCAGGACCTTCCCGTTACAAGGCTAGCAAGCTCGTAGACTATTAAGCCACTGGAACCCGATCCAATGGCCATTCCATGAATTCTAACTTCTGCCAACTCACGACATAGCGCAACGATTTCTCAATGTCTTATAGATGAGTTACTGCCTCATCTTGAATCTACTGTGTATCCTACTGATCACGGCTTCCCACGAGAACCACCAGGTTAACTGCCTGAATAGGACCAGTCACTAGTGAGCATTTATTTTAGCTCATCTTGTGTATACTGAACGCAAAATCGATGTCAACATGGCATTTCCAGTTGTCTACCGTAATCCAACTAAGATCTTAATTTTACCTTACAAGTTCATCATTTTACAACATATAGCTGAAACTGCCAGAATTCACCTTAAGCAGTCTAACTTATATGTTCAGGAGAAGGTCGTCCTGACGCCTTTCCCCCCTTGACCGTCACTATTTTAATTATCTTTAATTGTTGCATGTTGCAAGTTATCAAAAAGCATATTCTTTGCTCAAAACTATTTTCTGTCTATAAAATATCTCCATGGGAATTTCCGCTATAAACATCAGTGTTACTGAAACCACCCTGAAACTGTATATTCCACTCGAAACGCCAAAGAGTCAATCATAATCTAACCATTTTCACACCAGGAGAAAAGAACGAAATTGTAAACAAATTAGAAGAAGCATTTTATTCATTTGTCAATTTTTTTGAATTACAATAAACTGAATAATGTACAAGAAACCTTTGGGTAGGTAGTAGAAGGTTACTGTCAGGAGAGGTTGGAGGGAGATGGGGGGCCTAGGGTGGTGTTTAAAGTCATCCTATACATGATACAGTAAAAAGAACAAATCAAAATATATATATTTTTTACAAATGCATACGTTTAGCAGGCATTGATGGACTATTGAATTCAGCTTCCCTTACAGAAGCAGTCATTTTACGTTTCTTTAAAAATGGTGTATTTTCATCCATTGAATCTAAACTCGGACTAGGTATCTTTTTATTGGATGGTGGAGATGATTTCGCTAAACCTGGATCAATTGGATTATATAGTCCACGTTGATGTTCATGTTGATATAACAGAGTGGCGACAGTTCGATTCACTTTAGGCTGAGGTAATTCACTTTCTGGTGTAGGATATGGTTTCGATGTAAAATAAGGTGATTTCAAGGCAGTGGATGCAGTTCCTCGACAATCTGGATTTAAATGTAATAATGTCTCTAGTAAACTTATTAATTCTGTACTAGCCGCTGTGAATATCTGTGAGAAGGGTATACCTCGTCGTGTTTCAAATTTTACATAATTTGGTAAACGATTGACATCAGGCCAACAATCATCGTCAGGGGTTCCAGTTATCTGGAGAAAAAAAGAAATGGAAGGTAAACGAAAGCAATTTGCAGTTAAACATTTTGCAACATGTTACATAGTTACATAAACTGAGATGGTCAGAACATGTGTTACGTATGCCTAGTCATCACCTTCCTCGACAATGGGAAATGTTAGCTGACATAGTGTCAGGCTGGAAAAGAGCTAGCACAGGGCGGTCAAACCAAAACATGGCCCCATCAGTCAATGAAATCTACAACAGTTAGTTTAAGCCAGTCACGTAGGAAGGTGTTGACTGGCTTCCTGACTGGTTGAGGTCCTCGGGATGACGGTAAAAACCAATGGTTGGAAACAATTGGTGACATGGCTCAAAGCGATCGTTCTCAATGGCTGGCTGGCGCAGATGCATTCACTCCTTGTGACTTATGATTTCCAATGAAACTATATTGTTTTTTGTTATTACTATTCCTTTGTCTCACACCTCTGTTTACTGTCTTTATTATGCATTTCTTGTACTTTCTTCTCTTGGTTTGTGTGCTACATGGAGTGGAGTGTGGCAACTTGAACTGTCGCACATTTGTGCAAAGTTCTATGTCGAAAACATACAGACGGACAGCAACATGAAATTATTAAAGCTTCAGCGTTGATCACTTAAAAGACAATTGTTTTTTTTAACAGAAACACATAAAAGCAGGCTGTGAATTGAAAAGAGGCGGTCAGGTATGTGTAAAATGCTCACTGAGATGACACGACTTGACTATCATGATGCTAAACTCTTCCATTGCAGAACTAACTGATATATGAGTCAAGTTTCATAGGGAACAAGACCGTTTTTCAACACGGCAGATATCTATTGATTATTTGTTCAGGCAATCGAAAAACCAAAGTCAATAAAATCCTATTTATTTAAAATACAAATTTGATACAGTATGGACACTAAGAGTTTCGCCATACAACAATAAATCAATATTTAAAGAAAATAGAGGGAGAAAAAGAATGGTGGAGGTTATCCAGACAGGAGGGAAGTATATTTGTCAGGATCATTCTGTTATAATGGTTGATACATTTGGAAGTTTCCACTAACGAACTTCCTACTTAGTTGATCTGCAAATCTACTGTTCTAATCACTATTACCAACAACAACGACACGATACGACACCCCCGAACCAGCACCACAAAACACACCGTTGACGTAGAGAGCTTTAATTGTCTCGAAACAACAGCGAAAAGGGTAGACAGCAATTACCTATATAAATATATATATATATATATATATATTCTTTGAATGACCTTGTGAGACACTAATTGCATTCATAAATCGAAACAGTTAATAACCAATAGGATTCCAAGGTCACGAGTGGCGGGGGAAATACAAACAGCACAGTTCTGTTAAGATAAATGTAGTGGCTTAGAAAAATTAGGTCTATATGATACATTCAACATTAATCACTTCATGATACTTTCCAAAAGGGAATACGGAGAGAAACTGCAGCATGTTCTCCATTGATTCCGATTCTTTGTCATACCTGATAACGTTTCGAGCCACCGATTCGAACTATCTCTCGGACTCCATGAAGGGAGTCGTGATGTACCAACTAATGCCAACCTAATACAAACATCCATAATTCCAGAAACCACGTTATAGACTGACCATTTCTCAGCGTTTTATATTCAGTCCTAGGGCTAGCGAACAGACACCGGTACGGAAGCCTCTGTAATGACATTAGTAGCACATGTCTAACCCCCCTAAGTAAGTGTTTTCCAGTGAAAACATTCAATGGATGGTGATACCCACTGTATCCAAACACACGCTGCTAGACCTCGCAATTACTCACACGGTGATGCCATAGAAGGCAAGCAATTCTAAGGAGACAACGATGATTGAATACGCAGAGTCGCCGTACATTCTCAGCACGGAGAGGCCAGGTTTTACAGGAGTGGAGAAAGACTGTGTGCACTAAAACATTTTAAACCCGACCTCTAACAGCCAGGTTGATGTCGCGATGAAGCCAGAGGTGGTTCAAATTGCAGTATGCCAACCTAGATTTCATTATACAGTTAGAGATCTCGTCTATCACATCTCTGTCAGTACCCACACAACTACTTAGATACGCAAACTTATCGACAGCTTCAAACAGTTCATCTGCAAGTACAGCTTCCTGCTAATTTTGCAACAGTACTTTGCACTTAGACGACGCAAAACACATACTGTATTTACACACACACACACTGATTGATTAAGTGAGATTTGGGCAGCCTGCATACTATCGCACAGTAAGAAGATATCGTCTCCATACTCTAGGTTGAAAAATATTTCTCCAGGAAGCAGATCTACGCCACTACCACCACACACGTCCTTCAAAGCTGACTCGAGAATTCATCGATACCAAATAAAGAAATGGGTTGAATCCACTTTTGTTTGGGAATAGTAGTGATAGCCAGTTGTATGCCCTCTACCTAACAAAGTTATTTCTGTATACGGATTTCAGGATGTTAACAAGCTGCATTCTATGAATAAAACAGAAGGCAACAACAATAAAGATTATTATGATTCTTGCTTACTTCATAAATTTTTGCTAACTGAGTTAAATCACATTCACCTGGGAATAATGGAGTTCTGAGTAAAAATTCAGCTATAATACAACCAACTGCCCATATATCAATACCAACACCATAAGATGTACAACCATAAAACAATTCAGGAGCACGATACCAACGCGTGGCTACTTGATGTGTCATTGGTCGTCTTGGTGAATTAGCATATTGACGAGCTAAACCAAAATCGCCTATTTTCACTTTACCCTGTGAACTAAGAAATAGATTATTCGGTTTCAAATCTCGATGAAGTATCCAATTAGAATGTAAATATTCTACGCCACGAAGAAGCTAAAATAAGAGGAATATATAACATATATGTGGTAGTTAATTAGTTTTGATTATAAGGAAATATCAAAATACAAGGGAAAAAGATAGGTGAAAGAATAATTATGAATGAACGAAGAAACCTTTTTGAAAAATTCCGTGACCAATAAACCATTTCCCACTGGGAGGAATATTTTATTAACATTATCAGGCATCATTCATCAGGCATGATTGCTTCTAGTATCCAGCTGAAATGTTTAAAAATTCCAAAAAATATGACCACTAGGAAGGCTTTGAATCCTATATGATTTTCCTTAATTTTCATCACTTTTATTGCTAGTCTTAGTTTTCCTATGGTTCTTGACATATTTCTAAATAAATTCTGGTGGGTAGTTATTCACTAGTAATACTTCCTTGATTTGTTTGACTTCATTATTTAAATCTTCTAGCTTACTAGTTACGCTCCTGGTCCGATTATACAGACATCTAAATACACACATCTTTACTGATTCTAGATGGGATGAATTATTATTATTATTGTTCCCTTGGGTTCCTAGTGGAACATAGGGCTTCAAATGCACGTCTCCACTTGCCACTTCTGTCTTCCTTCTGCTGTACTTTTCACCTGCATCCATGTTAGTCCATACTGTTTCAACTCCTCTTCATACGATCTCCTTCATGTCACCCTTGCACTGACGACCCACTCGCCGCTTCCCTTTCGGGTTCCACTCGGGCAATGGCCTGACGCGGGCGCGATGTCACCCAGCCGCGTCCTCAGCCACGAGTGTCCAACCCATCCATCTCTACTTTCTCCTCCATATTTGTTGGGCGATTCGTTTGTTCTTGTTTTCTTTGTTCCTATGCTTTCATGTTGGTGATTCCTTCCGGCCAGGTCATTTGATCTTCAGTATCGATCCAGCGAAGACAGTTGCTGGTTGATAAAGGTAACGTCTGCAACAGGTTGTTGGAAATATTCTTTGTGACCCTCCCACCAAGTTTCTAATCCGTATAGAAGAACTGACTGACTTGACGTTTGTATTGAAAATCCAACCGAATTTTGTTGTTGATGCAGAGTGACGAAGATTTCCAGATTGGTTTCAGGTTGATGAATGTGTTTCTCGCCTTCCTGATTCGATTTTCGATTTGACATCCTCGTCCGTTCCTCCTGTAGTTGAGACATAGGACAAATTAAAGTCTAAGTATTTCTTAGAGTGTGTCGGTTTTCTATAAACACTAGTATCTAACCACCCACCATCTTGTTTTCGTTAAATTCTACAGTCTAGCATAGCCAACTCACCTTGTTCTTTTCCTAACTCAGAAATGAGCTGGATTCCATCTAGCGTTGATTTTATGTGTGAAAGTCTGAGAGAGATATTCAGATTTCAACACAGTGAGTGTGCCACCCATATATCTCCACCATAATCTAGGAGCTGGATTAAACGTTCTAAGTGCTTTATGCCCCCCCCTACCCAACTATCCACAAATATGTCTACTACTACTACTGGGGATATTGGTGATCCCATCACCACCCCATTCGTTTGTTTGTATATTTTAATTCGAAATTTGAATACAGTGAAGATTAGACATAACTGAATGCCTTAAATGATCTCATCAACCGAGAGCTTAATCCTGCTTTTGAATTCAGGATCAATGTTCAGTTCATTCCTAACTACACCCAGAACTGTATTAATCGCAATATAAGTAGTACATAAGCTGGTTATGCTAAAACTAATCATTTTTCCACCTTTCCCTCATTGAATTTTCTCTAGCTTCTGTTTCATTACGTAAGAATTAATTAGCCAAGAATCTAAACTATTTTTAATGGGGAATGATATTGATGTTACATATTTAGATAACTCGCATGTCACCGTGTTCCAAAAGTCACCTATTGGCCTAATAGGATAATCCTGTTTTATGAAACGTTACTATCCAGTTGTCAACAGTGCATCACTGTGCATTATTGCAAATAAGCCTGTCTAATATGGAATAATGACATTCTACTGCAGTGTTAAAATTTTACACTTATATTAATTCCTCAAGGTTGTTTTTTTTAGTTAACTAATTTTCGTGTATACTACTTATTTTTTACCTGAGTAATTAATCATAAGTGGCTTCAGAAGTGAAAATCAAAAGTTGTAAATTACGTGGTACTCAACGGCAAAAGCATACAAGTTTGATAAGGTTAAAATTGCTCTTGAGTGAGAATAAAGGTATTTGAGTGTCAATTCAACAAGTGTGTTACGTAATGGTAGAGAATTTAATAGTCCTGACGCAAGAAAGACGGAAATCAGAAGACCACTAGGTTTGCGATGATACTTCTATTTTCCAAAACACCAGGAGAATCAATGTCACACAAGAGTGTGAGAGCAAAATATGAATGTCCGAACAAGTGTGTGAATACAAGTGAGTGAGCGAATATTCAAAATGAACAAATCAATAGACAGTCTTAACATGATTGGCTAATTATAATGGAATATCGATCCATATATACGTAGCAAAATATATCAGACTGTCAAACAAAACACACATATTATATGGATATATATCAAAGTGTGAAGAGGGTGTGAAAATATACAAAAGGAACATATGAGATTGATAATAGTGAATTAATTATTAAAGGAAAAGCAAACTAGAAGTAAAATTAAAAATTAAAAACAAAAGGAAGAGTCAAATTTTTTTACAGGAAACGATTAGTGAAGAGGTTAAGACCAAGGTAGGATAAGAGACTGGACAAACCTTTTCTGTATACAGAGTTCAGGGTTGTATTGATGAATTTCCAGCGCCTCCACCATACACAAAAACCGAAACCTGACGCCCTTTGTACCATTTGGCTTCACTTTGTAGATGATCTTGAAAGACGACTCTGGTGGAGCTACGTGGCCTGAGTTCACCAAATGCTCGAGAATTGGGCTAGTAATTGTCTTGCATTATCCCTTTGCTAACCATGCGAGATGCGTTTGAAAATCGTGCGCTTTGTGCGGCCAATATAACTAGCTCCACACGAGCCGGTGAATTTATAAACACACATTGAGGTGGCCCAAAGCGGCAGTTTATCCTTCACACATCCGTTGATCATTTGTCGGCTGTAGGAATGATACGTAGCTCAGCCATAAAGAAGGCTTCCTCAGTGATCTGTATAAGCGATTCTTCAGGATGTAGGCTGCGGTAACATCTTTAAATTCAACATTCATAAACAGCAGTTTCTTCGGTACCGTCTGGATTCTTTCAGGCTTTTCTCTTAACTTCATGTTTTTCTCGATAAATCTTGGAGGATATCCATTCTCTATGAGAACTTGTCTGAGTCGCTCCAGTTCCCTATCGATTGTATCACTTGAATATATCCTCCTTATTCTTGAGAATAAGGAATGGATCAGATTTCTCTTTCTTCTCAAAGAGACCAAGCTATGGAAATTTGTGTACTGACCATTCCATGTTGGTGTCCTGTAGATCGACCTTTGAAGAGAACCATCAGATCTCCTCTTTAGAAAAACATCCAAAAAATGGAATTCCGAGTTAATCTCTGATTCCGACGTGAACTTCATGGCATGATGGCAGCTGTTGAACTCTTTAGTTATCCATTCGATATCGATGTCCAAGATTTATCGAGAAAAACATGAAGTTAAGAGAAAAGCCTGAAAGAATCCAGACGGTACCGAAGAAACTGCTGTTTATGAATGTTGAATTTAAAGATGTTACCGCAGCCTACATCCTGAAGAATCGCTTATACAGATCACTGAGGAAGCCTTCTTTATGGCTGAGCTACGTATCATTCCTACAGCCGACAAATGATCAACGGATGTGTGAAGGATAAACTGCCGCTTTGGGCCACCTCAATGTGTGTTTATAAATTCACCGGCTCGTGTGGAGCTAGTTATATTGGCCGCACAAAGCGCACGATTTTCAAACGCATCTCGCATGGTTAGCAAAGGGATAATGCAAGACAATTACTAGCCCAATTCTCGAGCATTTGGTGAACTCAGGCCACGTAGCTCCACCAGAGTCGTCTTTCAAGATCATCTACAAAGTGAAGCCAAATGGTACAAAGGGCGTCAGGTTTCGGTTTTTGTGTATGGTGGAGGCGCTGGAAATTCATCAATACAACCCTGAACTCTGTATACAGAAAAGGTTTGTCCAGTCTCTTATCCTACCTTGGTCTTAACCTCTTCACTAATCGTTCCCTGTAAAAAATTTGACTCTTCCTTTTGTTTTTAATTTTTAATTTTACTTCTAGTTTGCTTTTCCTTTAATAATTAATTCACTATTATCAATCTCATATGTTCCTTTTGTATATTTTCACACCCTCTTCACACTTGTTGAATTGACACTCAAATACCTTTATTCTCACTCAAGAGCAATTTTAACCTTATCAAACCTGAGTAATTCTTGAAACTACATAGCTGCCTAACAGTATTGTTGAGGTAATTTTGCTTTTTGGTATGTTATTATTGTTGTTTAAGAGTACCACTGATTTTTATTAAACACGAATATCTCTTGGCTAATATGGGAGCATTTTGCGACTGTAAGCTATACGGAAGAAGGCATTGATTGGTCCTCAGCATTCAGACCGAAATGTCTAGGTCCTGTTCATTCCTAAAATCCTAAATGAGAAGGGCATATTGTTACGTCAGCCAAAGGCATAAGAATGAGTGGGTGTTCAAACTTAAGTCTACTTGGATTCAAATACCTATTAATGGACAGATTTCATCGAAACAGCCTTCCAGATGAAGCACGTGGTGTTGGTGGTATTGTTTTGCCAAGGTTGGGTTGCTAGTATTCTGATCTCCAAACTTTCGTCATTTTTGCCGTGCTTACTAAACCCATCGGAAGTAAAGTAAGGGGGTTTAGGAGTACGTCAGCTTGGCTGGTTAATGAGCATTCTATCATCAGACCACCAACTCATCTGCAACCTCAAAAGCGCCAATATCCACATAGAAACTGTATCACCCAGTAATGCAGTCAAATACAAAGTTAATCAGGTTTAAACACACACTCCTCGTATATCTGAGTTCCACTTAAACAAAAAACTTAGAAGGTAAGATTATTGAATTGATACCATAAAACGTTTTGCTGGAACGGAATACTGCTACTTGAGAAAAACATGGAATTTACTAAACAACTTCTCATACTACAGTAATGATTTCACAGTGGTGGCAAATCAGTTTGGAAATCTTCTACACTTAATATAAAAGCACGGAGTTCAGATTCCCAACACCAATACCACGTCAATCAGTACTGCAGCATAGACGAGAAACTTGACACACGCGTCACGAAAAGCATTTCACACAGACTCCAGACTCTTATCAACAGCTGCCTTCGCTGGCTTCATACTGAAGATCAGATAGCTGGTCAGCCAGGAAGAATCAGCAACAAAGAAACTCTCAGTGGGAACAAACCAAGCAAGCGAGAGCCGATTGCTCAACAAATGTGCTGAAGGGAAAATGGAGATCGATCTGGCATACGTTGGGGAGCCGGCTGTCGAGTCAGACATCGTGCGCAGTGCCTTACAACCCTCGAGTGGAATCCCCGTGGGAAGCGACGAGTGGGTGACATGGAGGAGGTCGGGTGGCAAGGAGGAAATGAGAGACTATGCGAAGTCTCGCAGTGTCCTCGGAACCCAAGGAAACTATATATATATATATACCATACAGTAGTGATTACATTAGATTACCACTCACCTGTAAACTTAAAGCCTTGACATGTGCTGGTATTAAAATGACTGTTGGATCGTGAACTAATGCCTCTAAATCGGATGACATAAAATCAAACACTAAGCATATACATCTATCTTGACTGAAAACATCAAGTAGGCTGAGAACATTTGGATGATCCATTTCTTTGAGTATTTTAATTTCACGTATAGCTGATAAATTCATACCATCAGCCAATACCCAACGAGGACCTGCTTTGACCTTTAATGAGATAGAAAAAAATAGAATTGGAATAAATTACAAATATATAGTAGAGAATCAGCAATAAAGAACTCTGAAAACGAACGAACGAACCAATCAACAACCTTTTTCTCAAAAAAATATATAATGAGTAAAATGGAGATGAATAGGAGATACGCTGAAGAGATCATTGGGTGATATTACACGCCAGGAGGTCCAGTAGAACCCCACTGGGAGACACCATAAGTTAGACACCGGTTCGTCAGCTGATATAAAGTCAGGTTGGAAAGGAATTGGCGTGGTCAAATCAAAACTAGGATCCCCTTCAGTAAAGTCTTTAACTAACTGTGTTGGTTTGAGACAACTTCACAGAGATGTGTAGAATACCTGACTGGATACCTCGATAAGCTAAAACCAGTGACTGGAGATTGTTGGTGATTGTTGGCTAAAAATCGTTCTCAATGACGCAGATGTATTCACATTCTGTGTAATATTCTAAATCCATTATTCTTCAATAAGTTATTCTTTCTTCTGGACATTTCTGTTCATTGTAGTTCTCTTGAATCTCCCTTTTTTCTCTACCTAAACAGAGTGAGGAAACTTGAACAGCTGCACTTCTGTGCAAAGTTCTACGTTGAAACTTAAGTCAATCAGTAATACCTCCATCCCGATCGATATATGTACATAACAAGATAGTACCGACAGTATTCAAAAACAACCTCACTCATAATGAAATTATCCTCTACCACAGTGTCCAAGTTTTATCCTTATATCAGCAAGTTTCTTCCTTCTGATTATTTCAAAGCCACCATTCGTTAACCTTTTTATAGTTTGACCCATATTCTTTTGCATTAACCTGAATCCAATTATTTTTCATTTTAGAACATATATGATTAAGTTGTACGAAATATGTTGGACAGATAAATTACATAACCCATCTTATTATTGTGTCAAAAGGCATTCCTGACATCATGATAATTTAGGTTAGTTTACGCTAACTAAATTCTGCCAAGACAAAGCTTTCTGCTGCAGTTTCACTGATCACCTTAGAAAATCATTAATACTGCCAACACAAATGATGAAAACTACGAGTGGAATCCAGGGTGTGAATTTCACCCATTCTGAAACTCATCAACCGCATGCGGCCGCCCCCCCCCAAGAGTGATGGTGCTTCCACTGAGACTAGAATTCAATACTCATCACTTCGAACGTTATCCACTAAGCCATGAAATCGACCCCTTGTACAATGCGTATCAGTTATCATTTCCTTAAGTTAACATGTATTTCCCGTCGAGTGATTACATTGAGTAGAGGAGGGGATGCTCAGACTCTGTTGATAAGAAATACAAATTCTAAAGGATATTTAAGTCCAAAATAATCAATAAATCAATCAATCAACCAACGGGATATACAAAATTGACTTGAACGATACCAAGCTTCACCATCCCTGCTTTTTGACGAAATAACAAACTCTTCCTTTTTGCGTGTAGATTTCGTCACGAGCCAACGTTGGTTAGCAACCAATAAAAACCATGAAGCACTAGACAGTTAATTCGTCCTATTTCAGGACTCTTCAGCACTCAAAATCCATAACTTCAACTGAAATCGAGACCAAGTTAGTTGCCCATTCAGCCAACCACCTGATATAACCAATGTTAGCTGATGATGAAATCCTGTAACCAATCAAATCCCTACAAACAGACATTTGAATTCGTGATACAGCTGTAGGTTCGATCAATAGCTTCAAGTCTGAAATTAGGAGAAGAGAAAAAGAAACTATCCAATGCTCCATGGTTTTCAACGATCTCTAATTGATGTAAGTTCATGACGAAATCCTACATTACAATTTAATGGAAATCTCCACAAAATACATAATCTAAATATTATTCTTTTTATTTATCAGTTCAGATTTGTAATAAATGAATACAACTTATCACCGCCAATCCCCGATTTTACGTAAATTCCAGTTGGGTTTTTTTTCGATGGTCACACCATTAAAGCCTTATTACAGCTTTTATACAGTCTGTATACATTAATTAAAACAGTAATAATAATAATAGCAATAATAATTAATAGTAAAAATAATCATAATGCAGGTACTATTCACCTTTTTAATTGCAACTAACTGTCCATTTCTATTGTTATCTTGTGCAAGAAATACATTAGCGAATTGACCTTCACCAAGGTAACAAACTTTTTCATAACGTGAATTTTTACTAGCCTCATCTACAAATATATCCATTCTAAAGCGAAATAAATGAGAGAGAGAAAAAAAATAGAGTTAAAACGACAAAAAACAACAAATTAACCTACCCTCCAAACCGGCTTAGCCCCCCGTACACCTATTGAAATGCACCCATATAGAAAAAAATATATATATATATATATATATATATAAGATTTCCTAATTCATTCGAAGCTAATTGTGTCATTCATCAGAAATGTGAATGTTGAAAAACCCTACCACCTATTAACCTTCTAACTTTTGTGAATCAAGAAGATCAAAGCGAGGATCATCAGGATAGCAAGGCAAGCTTCCATTTCTCTCAAGTCTGTGTGGAGAAGGTCAACGGCACTAATCAGTATGGGAAAAAAGATCTCAATTTTCAACTCTATTGTGAAATCAGAGCTACTTACTACACAGGTCAGAGATTTGGCCAGCGTGTCACGAAGGCCACTTCGAACAAACTACAGATCTTCATCAACAACTGTCTCCGCTCAATGCTCAAGATTAAATGGGCGGTCAAAAAAGATCAGCAACAGGGATCTCTGGCAATCAGCGAACCACCATAGCAGGAACCGATTGTGAAACAAATAGGCAGGAAGAAATGGAGATGGATTGGCCATACTCTGAGAAAACAAACCATCAAGCGACATCACACACCAGGTCCTTGCTAGAGTGGAACCCGAATGGGAAGTGGGGAGTTAGTAGTCAGTGAGAGGGTGACATGAAGAAGGTAATGTGAAGAGGAGATGAAAGCATATGGTCAGACGTGGAGCCAGATGAAAACGTTGGCAGAGAACCGAACGCAATGGAGACGTTCGGCTGAAGCCCTATGTTCCTCTAGAAATTCACGGAAACAATAATAATAAATAACCTTCTTACTTCTGTGAATAAAGAGTAGTTAACAAACTGTGAGTAAAAAAGGACTTAGCTATGTGTTTCTAGTTCAATAGTAAATTTAACATCACCCAGAACGTTACTAATTGATTTAAAGGTTTTTCCAAACTCACAGGATTGACTGCAGTAGCTATAACTTTCAATCAGTTGAATAGATAACGGGTTAATTCAAAAGTGCCTTCAAGTCAGTTAACAACCTTTTAAAAAAACGCTAAAAGCAATACAATTGAGAAACTCAATATACACAAAAACAACTCTTATCAACCAAAACCTTAACTACAGTAAGAAGAATTCAGCCAAACATAAAAACACTTTTGTGGCAAGATTTTCTCAAAAAAAGAGTACTGGAAAGAGAATACACTTTATAGGAACCAGCTACCCAGTAAACTTTGATAGGAGATATTAAAGGGATCCATCCGCAGAAGAACAAGAAGGATTTTTTTTACCAGAGAGGAAGAAGAGATTTCAACAACAAATATGTCTTTAGGAATCTCTATGATTGACAAACCTATGAATTTCTTTCATACGTATATCTACATTATAGGATTGAATGAAAGAAGAAGATGACAGGCCGAAGAAAACCGCCAAAATAAACTGCGACAACTCTGAAAAAACTACAATGGAAAGTATGCCCTACATTTGCGTCTATACTAATACGAATAAGCTGTTAGACAACAGGACCTTGCAAACAGTAAAGAACACCTTAGCATAAATTTGATGGAACTTCAAGAATATCCCTTATCTCAACTTCGCATTATACACTCTTATATATCTTAAGTGTGGTGGTTTCTTTCTGAGTGTTGTATTTTGTGTTTCTAGAAGAATTAAGACAGTACTCAGGGGTTATTCATAACAACATCTGCTAAGCTATACAATATTATGCGAGGTCTGTTCTTTTCATATTAGTGGGTCTCTCTATAGTCAGATTGTGGAATTCACTTGAACTGCTTCTTTTATCGACGAATATCAATGCGTCAGTTGCTCAGTGATGCTGACTCAAGTGTGAAGCTTCTGGAAATTCTGTGACCTTTCTATCGTGTTTTCCCTATTCATTTTTTCAATCAACTTTGTATCTACAGTAGTTTATATGTAGAGTCTCGATAAAAAGGAATAGTTCCATTAAACCTCCGTCAAATTTAGGTCATGGTGATGTTCACTATTTGTAAGGTCGCTGTTGACATGATTACATAATAATACTCTACTGTACTCAACAACTGTGAACAATCTTCAAGGTATGCACAGAAGGGTATCGTAACAAAACCATGCCAAATAAAGCTTCTCAGCTGTAAGATTTCGAGGCATTGTCAAAGTGATTTTTCATAACGAATCAGCCTGTCTGTCTGTCTATCTGTTTTCCACATAGAACTTTGCACAAATGTGCGACAGTTCAAGTCGCCACACTCCACTCCATGTAGCACACAAACCAAGAGAAGAAAGTACAAGAAATGCATAATAAAGACAGTAAACAGAGGTGTGAGACAAAGGAATAGTAATAACAAAAAACAATATAGTTTCATTGGAAATCATAAGTCACAAGGAGTGAATGCATCTGCGCCAGCCAGCCATTGAGAACGATCGCTTTGAGCCATGTTACCAATTGTTTCCAACCATTGGTTTTTACCGTCATCCCGAGGACCTCAACCAGTCAGGAAGCCAGCCAACACCTTCCTACGTGTCTGGCTTAAACTAACTGTTGTGGATTTCATTGACTGGTGCCATGTTTTGGTTTGACCACCGCTGGCTAGCTCTTTTCCACCCTGACAACAAATCAGCAGAATCAATTAGAAAGTATCAAAAAACAACCGAAAGAAAATTGGAACCCGATCCAATGGTCCTTGAATTCTAACTTGTGCCAATTCACGGCATAGCGCGACCGCTAGCCAATGTCTTGTAACCGGAAGGTCCTGGGTTCGAATCCCGGTGGGTGCGTACTGCTAAAGAGTCCCAAACTAGGACAAAACAGCTGTCCAGTACTCCCTGGTTGGTTTTCCAATGGTTCTCTAACTAATGTCAGCTCATGATGAAATCCTGTAACATTAATCTCTTACGTAAACTACCATATAATAAATGAATAAATAAATAATTCACACATATTACCGCATATGTATATACAAGCAGAAACAACAAAAACAACAACAACAAGCAACACCAAAACCTTTTCAAATCAGAACAAATACATACATCGATAATATCATTGTTTATTAATAAATAATAATAATGTGGTCTGCTTGTAAAATACATACGAAAATAAAATACACATCTCTTGGTTTCATCATACAGTAAAAGCACACACACACAAGAGAGAGAGAGAGACAGGGAAAACAGCGTTAAAATTCTCTCGATGTTAATGATAAGTCACAATATATACACATTGGATGAAGTGTTGCTAAACGCCAAGCGGATAAACGATCTAGTCATAAAACAAAGAAATAGAATGAAAAGAAACAAAAATACAACCTTTTTTGAATTAAAAAAAAAAACATATGTTCATTCTCAAGGGACACTTAAGAATTCAAGATCTTAAATGTAATTAAACGTTGAGAAATGTAAATGCTTAAATTCAAGACGGTTTTTTAACCATGAATATATAACGAGAATCGTCAGAAGCCATTCGACTTCATCACAATAGGGTTGCACAGGAATCGAGCTCGCTTTGTGTCCCAGGTTCAATCTTTAATGGTATCATGGGTAGTATTGATGAAACAGCTGATATATTTATGCTAAAGGGGAACTACTACAACACCCGAGTTATTTTCATCAAAGTTGTGAAATAACATTCCATGTTAGTATTGTAGTTGTCAATCTTTGGATATATGACGTACAGTGTGATTAACATTCAACCACTGAATTGAATGTTAGTCCTCAGTCAGGTCTCCTGACATAGATTTACCTTATTAACTACATATGTATATATGGTTACTGAGTAACACTGCATACTGAATGAGTTGAATGAAGGAAATAACACTAACTGAATCCTTGCAACTCATCTAAATCAAACGAAATACAAGGCAATTAATCATGGGCGCTCAAATAAGCCAGGTACATTGGTTAAACTATTAACTTGTTTTACGCATATAGACGAAATGTGACAGGCTTTTCTTTATCCACCTATTTGTAAATGATTTGATATGATTGGATTATATATACCGCTCTGAGTCTTTGAATAGCAGTCAAATCTCTGTAATTCATCGGCTTTGAAAAAAGGCCATCTACAGCATTGATCGTGAAGTAACTCGGAAACTACTTCAACACCGTGTAATGCCCCCAAATTTTTTTTATCAATATATGAGTCAAGTGATCCACAAAGGAAAAACTCAGCGAAACATTTGAAGTGAATACGGTAGTAAGACAAGGCTGCCTCCTATTATATCACCAATGATATTCTTTAGCTGTGGTGAATTGGACTACGCATCAGACTCTGCGTGGAAGTGAGAAACACAGGAATAAGTTGAACTGAAAAGAAGACTCTAAAAGATATGGATTTGGCATGTGAATGATTTATTGTTTAATGTCACATAAACTCGAAGACTTGTAGGCGAAGACCAACAATTCGGGAGAAGCAGAGAAGACAGGTCTTCAAGTAAACATACAGGAGACAAAGGTGATGAAGATAACCGATCAACCAGCAACAACAACAACAACAAGCATCCATCCTTATCTGCAGGAGAAATTTAAAAGAAATCACTTCCTTCACTCACTCACGCAGCATCCCCTTCAATAACAGGCGAAACAGAGTTGGAAAGGCAAGACAGACTACCATCACTCTGTAATCAGTTTGGAAATTTGCTGCATCAGCATAAAAAACAATATTCGGATTCTTAGCGCCAATGTTAAGTTGGTTAGTTCTTCTATGTGACTCAGAAATTTGGCAGCTGCATCACTGAAAGTATTTCTAATAGATTGCACACTGTTATCAACAGCTGCCTTCATTGGCTCCATGCTGAAGAAGACCAGATGGCTAGAGAGAATCAACGACAAGAAACTACTGCTAAACAAATGCACTTGAGGAAACGGGGATGAATGGGACACACGCCGAGGAAACAGTTGAGTCACATAGTGTGGCAGGCCCTGGAATAGGACCTGAGTGGGAAACGACGAATTGGGCGTACCTCTGAGGATAACATGAAGGAGATCGTGTGAAACGGAGGAGACGAGAGCCTACAAGAAATCCTGGAGCCAGATTTGAAGGACTGCGGAGAACAGGGTGAAATGGAGATGTACTGTACTGATTTACACACTATCCGCATAATCAACGACATGCATAACATACACTAGTAGCACACTTTTTTTACTATATGCTCTCATACATGGGTGTATGTTTGCTGCGAGTCAGAAGCACACTTCAGAATGACCGTATATTATGAAACCTATGTTTGAGTAAGACTCAGTACTGTCGAAATCTAAGTAGTATTCTACACTTTACTATTACTATTCATTCCATGAGTTCGAAGTGAAACAGAGAGCTTAGGCGGCACATCTCCACTACACTCAGTTCTCTTCCATGACTTATAGCTGGGTCCACGACAGCCCATAAGATTTTACTTGCTCTTCAAATAGTTTACAACACTTCAGTTTCAGACGCCTAACCCCTTCCTCCCGATTCGAGTTCTACTCAAGGGCTTGGAATCTAAGCTTTATTGGGATACAAGAAAATATAATGCAGAACAAAGTAATAATGAGAATATTCAAGTTTTGGTTTTGTAGGGATTTAATTGATTGCTTACAGGATTTCATCATGAGCTGACACCAGTTATAGAACCATTGGAAAACCTGCAGGGAGAGTACTGGACAGCTGTTTTGTCCTAGTTTGGGACTCTTCGTCAGTACGCACCCACAGCCAGGGCTCGAATCCAGAACCTTCTCCTTACAAGGCTACTAACGAGCTCGTAGACCGTTAAGCCCACTGAGTCCCGATCCAATGACCCGATGTCAGCTTATAATGAAATCCTGTAAACAAATAATAAGAATAATTCACAAAGACAACAAAACAACTTTTAACCTACCATGGGGAGATATACCGAGTGCAACATGATTACAATGTTTACAGTGACGGTAAACAGGATCTATACACGGTTCAAGAGTTTGCATACAACGTTCTAAATTTGAAAATAAAAGTTATCAATGTTGGAATTAGTAAAGCTCATTATGTTTCAGTAGCAGTGGGGAAAAAAACTGGGTGACGTTTAGGATTAACGCGCTTATCACCATTTCACTTCGAGAAATATCTCAAAGGGGAGGGGGAGTCAAACCGTTAAACTGCATGCAGATAGTCAGCCGTTGATTCACAGAAGTAAAATAACATCAGATGATGAGAATACTGAAAAGGGAAGGGGTGGTCAAACCAAAAACCTGACATCAATCTATGAAGTCTTTGACAGTTAGTTTGAGCCAGTCACATAGGAAAGTGTAGGCTGTCTGGTTGAGATCCTCAGGATCCTAAGAGGCAATGACTGCAGACCATTAGTGAAATGACTCGAAGTCTTTGTCAACGGTGCAGGTGAATTCACTCTTTGTGAAGTCCTATATATATTTATTAAACTGTCATACTTTCCCATGCTTTGATTCTTTTACACAACTATATAAAATCATATACTTTCCATGCTCTTGGTACTCATTTATGGTAATCCAACTAATTGATTTCGATACAGAACTTTGTACAAAGATGCAGTAGTTCATACGTACCAGACTCCATGTATCAAACGAAAAAAGACAAAAAGGAGAGAAAAAGAGATCAAACAAAAAACGATGATAAACCAAAATATCAGGGAGAAAGAATAGTAACATGGAAAAACAACAGGGTTTAATGGATATCTGATGACACAAAAAGTGAATGCAACAGAATTGCTGAGGACTATTTCGAGCTACTAGTCTCATTAGCAACCTGGAAGTCAACAACCTCCTGACGTGGCTGGCTTAAACTAAAGTTTGTATTTTGTTCCCTTTTAACCCTACACCAAGGGGGCACACTTACTTTCCCCCCCCTCAACACATCCCAAGAGCAAGGTTTTAAAAAATTAAGTTTTTTTTTTTCTTTGAATTATTGTTTATTTTTACGGGGAGAGTTGCTTGCCTCACGCCCAACCTTCCCTCTTTGCCCGGCTTATCTCCAGTTTGGCAAGGTTTAGTTAGGAGTGCGTCGGCCGGGGATGGAACCCTGGACCGAGTGAGTGACTGGCATGCACTCTACCTCTGTGTCACCAATGCACGACTATATTTCAACGAATCTCAAAATTACTAATCTCGTTATACAACGGTAAAATTCAGTCGTTTAGCATATTCAAGGTGCCCAGACTGTGCATCCAACAAGACAATGACTATTATGTACACTAAGTCAAAAGAAGAATCTCCTGTGAAGAGATAGGGGCATTCTAAAACATATCAAATAAACAAACAAGCAAAGTAGTCATAGTGAGAATACCTAAAGAACACTACTGAATTTAGACACTCCACGGAGCAACTCACCATAGACTTTAGTGAGAAAACTAACGTTAGCGTAAGAAGACTTTCAGTATAAGCCACTACCGCAAGACCTCTTGAATGATGGCGTCGTAATTGATAATCAAGTAAAAAAAATACAACTAATGTTAAAAAATTTTTCGGCTTCCCTATTATCGAAGATCTGATGACGAAAACATTCCTGGTTGGAGAGCTAGTGATCAAATTTGAAATCAGCCCTGTTTTCTCTCTCTCTCCCTCTCTCTCTGTACTCAAGAACTTGATGTCATGCTTGAATCTACAAGATCGTGAAAACTAATTATTAGAATCCCAAATACTCTATACAATTAGGACTCAGATCAGGTAAGTGATCACACCAAGATTCTTTGGAAATACCTAACGAAGGCAGGACAAGTCCATGACGACGGATGACAGGAGGTTGGATAGGCAAGTTCGTCCACTTAAGTGTTTGTATTTGACAAATTTAGACTGTTAGTGTGTAATAGAAATTCGCCAATAAATAAGGCAGACGAAAGATTACTAACTGCAGGGGAATATGCTTTTATTAATAGTTGCCTTCGATGACTCCGTATTGAAGATCAAACGGCCAGAAAGAATCAGCAACAAGAAACTCTGGCTGGGAACGAAGCAACCAAGATCCGATCGCTCAAGAAAGATGTAGGAGAAAATGGAGACAGATATGTTGAGGAGACCATCGGATGACATCGTGCGCAATGCAGGCCATCACTCGAGCGGAATCCCAATGGGAAGCGACGAGTTAGGCGAGATTCCGACGGTGACATGAAGGAAGCAGTGCGAAGAGATGAGGAATTATGGACCATCGTGGATCCAGCTGAAGACGACGGCAGAAAACAAAACAAAGTGAAGCACTATGTTCCACTCGGAACCCAAGGGAATAATAACAATAAACAAAACAGTGCTTAATGATCAGAAGAAATTAGAGTACAGAGTAGAGAGTGAACATGCTTGACTGCACCTGGCTTTCTAAGGTGCCGTTTGTAAAATCGAGGAACCCAAGGGAGTCTATCACAGCTTCATCGATATAAAAAACCACCACCATATCAAGGAAGCAGCTATTGGTTGTTTTGGTGAATACATCACGCATTTAATCGATAGACTCCATTCAACACTTTAAATCCGATACTTGTATTGGCTATCATCCAAGAGCTTATTTGCACAAAAGGAACAATATATGAATTAATATACAAAACTGTAATCGAAAGTATTCAATTACACACATTATCCATACACCAAATGATAACTATGAACTGATAAAAATTTAACAGGTAAACAGGATATTCACACTTCCAAAAACTCAACAGAAAGATAGAGTAAAACATACGACAATAACATTTAGAACACAAAACTCACCTAAAGGATGATTTTGAGAACAATTAGAATACATAAAATCAGGAATAACATGTACTGGACAGAGAAGAACACTTCCGAGTTAAGGAAACACTATAATGCTTTTTCTTTTACAAAAAAAATGAGAATAATAAACCAAAGAAACTGAACAATCCTCAATTATTTTACTTATTCATCAAGTGTTGGTTCGTAGGGATTTGATTGGTTTCAGGATTTTATCATGAGCTGACATTAGTTAAAGAACCATTGGAAAATCAACAGGGAGTACTGGACAGCTGTTTCGTCTTAGTTTGGGACTCTTCACCAGTACGCACACACCGGGATTCGAACCCAGGACCTTCTGGTTACAAGGCGAGCTCGTATACCATTAAGCCACTGGGACCGATGGTCCAATGGTCCTTGAATTCTAACTTCTGCCAATTCACGACATACTCATTGTTGAATAATGAACAGAGAGTGGACAAAACAAAAGCATTCAAAGCGACCTATTGAATCGCAGAGAAATTTCCCAATGGCCTCAGTATTCGTCTACACCATACAGCTGAAGCGATTAACATTCGAATTGTTAAGTTAAAAATAAGCAAATATCCCTATTGATTTTTTTTTCATTAACAGTTTCTTTTCTGATCACTCATAGAAAATGAATAGAGTTTGTAACCTCTGCATATGTTGCACATTTATTTGAAAATTTACTTAACGTCCGTTTGCATTTGAATGAAGCACCAACTATACTCTGTTACGACTGAAGATGTTACCTGGTTGTCCTAACTTCAACAAATCGTCGGGTGTAGACCAAACTTAAGAGATAATAAATATTATAATTTATGAAATATTTCTACTTCAAAAAGTTTCTTTTATATCTCATTTATCTGAGGCGATTATTGGGTAAAAGACAGACTTTTAAAACAAATATTTAGTGTGCCATTGTGACCAGTAGAGTCCAACAGGTCGGGAAAGAGGAAGAATACTCACCCCCAATGAAATTTGCTGGGGGTCGCGATAAAACCACGAATCAGTAGAAGTGGGTCGGATCCCAGCGGCTGGCTGAATAGTCTACGAGCTTACTTTGTAACTGGAAGTTTCTGGGTTCGTACCACTGATGAGTCCCAAACAAGGACGAAACAGCTGTCCAGTACTCGCCTACATGTTTTCAATGATACTCTAACTGATATTAATTCGCGGTCCAAACTTGAAATAAATCAAACCCCTACAAACTACCTCTTGAAAATACTTATAACTTGTTGTATATATTGGATAAGTTTGTTTGATATTGACACACAGTGTGATACAGTGTATTAATAATTGTATAACGTTTCAAGCACAATTTATTGCTCATGATAATATTGATGTATGCACACAACCTGTTAAGTAGCGTTATATACTTCCACTCTTCCTCCCTCTTATTTTTTTATTTCAATTTTGTATATAGCCGGTAAAGGCGTTGCATCATTTCGATTCTACGAGTTTTCTCTTGATCCGATAAACAAAGATTCCATGATCAACCTCTTCCTCCAACTGAACATGATACTTTTTAATGCTTTCACCATGTACCACTCGCATTGTGTGATTGGATGCAAATGAATGCAATGCGAAGTGTCAATCACTTTAGCCTTATCTATATTTCTATGTTCCGATAATCTAATTGACGCGGATCTACTAGTCTGACCTATGTAATTAAGCTCATATTCGTTATTTGGTACTTAGTAAATTATATAATTTTTTCTTTATTAAATTTATTGGATCCTTGGGGCTGTCCATAGCTATGCATTCGCTTGCATGTAATCACACAATACGGGTGGGATTATTAATATTATTATTTCCTTTAATTCCTAGAGGAACATAGGTCTTCAGCTGCGTGTCTCCATTGCCTTCGGCTTTCTGCCAACTTTTCACCCCGCTCCAAGTCTGCCCACATGCTTTCATCTCCTCTTCACATGACCACCTCCAAGTCACCCTCGCACTGATGACCAACTCGCCGCTTTCCTTTCGGGTTCCACTCAAACAATGGCTTGTCTAGTGATGTCACTTGATGGTTTCCTCAGAATATGGCCAATCCATCTCCATTTCTTCCTGCCTATTTGTTTCACAATCGGTTCCTGCTATGTTGGTTCGCTGATTGCCAGAGATCCCTGTTGCTGATCTTTTCTGGCCGGCCATCTGATCTTGAGTATAAAGCAAAGACAACTGTTGATTAAGGTCTAAGGTTGGTTGAGATGCTCTTCATGACGCGCCAAGTCTCTGATCCAATCATATAGTAGCACTGACTTCACATTGGAGTTGAAAATCCGGATCTTATTTGCCATTATGAGTGCTGCTGACTTCCACACAAACTTAAGAGCAATGAAAGCTTGCCTCGCTTTTCCGATTCTGGCTTTGATATCCTCGTCAGTTCCGTCGGCCTGTAGTTGAAACGATGCTTCCCAAGTAGATGGGTGAAGGAGGTTGTTTCTTTCAGGTTCCTCCCATTTATGCTAGCTGATTGTTGTCTGTTGTTGTTGCTGCTGTTGGTGTTGGCCATGAATCTTCATCATCTCTGTTTCCTCTATCTTCACCTGAACTCCTTCCTATCTTTGATGCTTCTTCTGCCAACTTGTTGCTTTTCACTTGGATATCTTCAAGTTTGTGGGTGGGATAGAGTGGGAGTATTAAATAGTAGCATAGTTATATGCAGAGACAGACAGGGAGAGAGAAAGGTTAATCACCGGAGCTTTTTTCACTGAATCGGCACCAAACACGTACGACCGAAATGACACACCATCCGTACCGGATATATGGGGAATTACAAGTAAAGAATAATGGGGAGGAAAGAGAAGTGGAAGTATATAAAGCTAGTTAGTAAGTCGTATGTATACATCGATGTGATTATTAGCAATAAATTATGCTTGAAACATCATCCAATTATCAATAAACTGTATCACATTATGTTATATCATATAAACTTATCTTATATGGAGTCAGAATCTACCCACAGTGACCAAATACATTCATTTCACTGCAACAATTAAAACAGAAGGCAGGAGGAGAAGAAGGAGAACAAATACTTGCTAGCAGAAGGCCAAAGCCTACACTAATATGTACACAGTATAGATCCAAATATTAAGGCGAATTCTATTTCTACAAAGTTACCGAACGCTACAGTCTTTTAAAATGGTGTCAACTTGTATAACTCCATAGACTAAAATGATGAGTCTGGGATAAGCCGGTTAACAATTATTATTATTATTGGTGAATTTTTTCAACTACTGATAAACCAAATAAGTAGTATACCTTGTAAAGCATATAATTGTTCGAAATTACGATAATGCTAACTGCACGATGTCGAGTCAGATCAGAAAAATGAATCATAATAATTCAGATTTCTAGAGAATGTGTCATTGTAGACTGTATAATTCCCAGACAACTAATATGATTTTGATATAATCCTGTGTACTGCCAGTCTTTCAAACAGTATTCTGTTTAAAATGACTTGAATTTAATCAGCCCGAGTGACTAAGTGGTCCAGTGGATAACGCTTTGGAGTTTGAAACGATGTAAATGCTGGGATCAAGCCTGAATGGGAACACCAACACACTCAATGGGGATGTATATGCATCAGATTGACGAGTCCCAAATAGGACGAAATCTATATCTTGAATTCCATTGCTAGGCACCACCATCCACCAAATTGCTTTAAAACAAGTATTGTTTAAAAATGCCATGATCACTGAGTTAGAATCGCATACAATAACAATAATAATAATAATAAGGTATCTCTCTACAAAAGGATATTTTCTGTACATATTGGACATGTGTGTACTTGATTAACAATATCTTCAGCTGGAAGATGAAATCGATGGATATATAACTGCATAGCCAATAGACGAACTTTCTCAGCCAACTCAAGTAGATCTTGCACATAACACGTAGATTTGTTCTGTGTAGTTATACTGGTATTTATGTTCACAGAAGATGATGACGCAGAGTTATTTGTAGCAAGAAGGGGAGTAGTCGGCAGCGTTGAAGGTTTGAAAACATTTAACGTCAGCGTAGCCATACGTGAGACCAGCAAACAATCTACAGAGTAGTAGGCAAAGAGAATGAGTCACCAGAATAAAAAGAATAGAAGGTTAATGCTGTTCAACATAAGAAAAAAATATCATTTTCAAGTGTTGGTTTGCAGAAATATAATTGATTCCAAATCTGATCACGAATTCATAGGGAATCGAATAGCGTCCCAATGGCTGAATAGTGTGGTCAAGGAGCTAGTCTTGCAAGCTAAAGGACCTGACCTCTATCCATGTTGGGGTCATAAGTTAGGGTGATACAGCTGAAACTTGCGGAACAACAACGAGATAGTAAGCAAGTAATTCCAGGCTTTAAATGGTCTCCTACCTGAAGTGAAATGAATTCTTGATTAAACTTCAGATCTCCAGGAAAAAGCATTGACTCTGCAACACAATTCAAGAATAACTGGGTTAATGTTTCCAATATATTAGATAGTCTATTCCTCTGGTCGGTAAGCGTGCTATCTAACAGGGTTGAAAAGAACCTTATCCTGCATGATTTCAAAAAGATAGTAGCAGAAGGGGGTCCATAAGGAGTACGATACACGAACACCTTGTCAACACCAGTCATCATGACATCTCAACAAATTCATCCACAATACACTTGCCTCTGCTCTGCATTGCTGAAGCTCTAGCCAATCAGATAAAAAAAATAACTGGAATTTTGCATACAAAAGAAAATCATTGAACCACTGCTACTACTATCATGGTAACCACCTTGTTGATTTCTACCAACTTCATGTTTGTTTGCTTGTTTTTCTAACTCCTCATAACTCTTGCATTTCTTACGAACTCTCAAGTAATTTCACATTTTCCCTCGTTTCTATGTGAATCCTGATCACAACTGTAATAACACTAACTCAACGCTTCTTGTGCACTGATTAATATTACCAACTATGATTATGACAACTCATCACTTTTGTTAATACCCTCTTTCGTGAAAAAAAAACTATATAGATGTGACTGTACAGCTAAAGAAGAGAATGGATTCGCCGACATCAAGCATCGTCACTGAACTACTTGTTATTCTCTTTCCGTAAAAGTCATCGCAGAATGTATAAATGTGAATGGATGAACTGCGGATCCTAAAGTTTGTGGAAGCCCTAGCTGACAATTAGAAAGTTTAAGCCACCTTTATGCGATCAAAGCAACAATTCGTCATCACACTAAACCTTCTTTGATAAACTTTGTTTTGATACCATAGCAGATGTACTATTACTTCTGTTATTTGGTTTAGCAGTCTTCATTGATATTTTGACCTTCAATATGTCCTTTTAACTTGACCTAAGTCTATTTTCTCACTTCTTACCTCTTTATTAATTTCATATATATTACTATGACAAGTCCGTGTGTGATCAGATTGTTCGAAATGTGTGTTGTGCCCAAATACCCAATACACGATTCAGACAAATTACGTCTTCTTATTACTTTATCTAAATAAAGCTATGCAAAATTACAGTAAGGCCTGAAGATATAATTGAAAACAATGTTATTCGCCTAAAAGTACTTAACACCTAAGAAAGATTTGAATTTAAACGTTAACAGCAAACACAACCAGTGGAAGATCGTGGGCCTTGAAACTTCCTCTTTTTTGGAATATGGATCAACTGTCTGAAATTCATTTTAACAAAGATACATAAGTGATGAACACATACCACGTGCTTGTCTTTGTACAGAACTTTGAAGAAATAAACGATAACAACGTTCCAAATGACGTAGTTGAATTAATTGATCTGCACTAGTCAACCAAAGCTGTGCGCAAGACTAGATCAAAATATAATGAAAAATGAAAACAAACAAAAACAGTTTTCGGAATTGATAGTGTTCTCTGAGCTCCTTGGTTTAATTCCAAATCATCCACCTGAGTTACAAATCTTTTCTATTATTTCAAAAACAGTTTTCAGCAGGTTACTATTGTCGATTATAATCACTGATGAGAATTTCCCCATTGTGGGACGTATAGAAAATCAAACAAGTGATTCAGTGAAGAGTCTCTTTTCAATGAATTTATCATCAAGCTGTAGAGAATCGTAACAGTTCCTAAAAATGCCTTATTCTTACAAATTAAGTTCCTCGGGGACAACATCAGCGAGATATTAACACAACGCCCTAGAAATGTGGTGAAAAGAGCATTCCCTGATGCTGAATTACACTGTGTTCGGGAGTAAAAGATAAACTGCTGCTTAATTTCGCCTCTTCCATGTGTATTTACCAATTTAACTGCTCCCTGTGGGGTGGGTCAGTACATAGGCCACACAATTAGGCGTGTTTCTCGTTAGATTTCCGAACATCACCTTGCGTGGTTAAGCAAAGGACAAACAAAATCTATTCGCAGCGCTATTCTGTCTCATCTTGTGGATACAGAACACAAGATTGATGTTAACCAGGCTTTCAGAGTCATTTACCGCATACCAACAAATCTTAATTTCTCCTTAGGAGTACGTTTACTAAATATTGATGAGGCCGTTGGGATCCACATTAAGGAGCTTAATTTATGCGTCCAAAAGAAGCTAGTTAAGACATTGTCCTTATATTGGCCACCTAGGTTCTAATGATCCTCAATTCTCTGTAGAAATCTCCTTACATTTTAGTTGATATTCTATTTGCTACTATATCTTTATTATTATTATTATTATTATTATAATTTAAGCATCTTTAATGAACTGTAATTCCATTGATCTTACTTTACAAATCGATATTATTTAGAAAACTCTAATATTTTTATTGGCTACTATTCTAGAATATTCTTTGTATGTAAGCATACATATAACTGTAGAGCCAGAAGAGGAAATTACCGAAAAGGATATTCTTTGCTCAATTAATTTGTTTTTTTTATAGATGTCTGAATGAACATTTCCCTTATAAAATAGTTCATGAAATGCATAAATCTCAAAAAGCGTCGGTAGCACAGTGGTTAAGACGCTCGCCGACCATGCATATGGTTCGGGGTTCGATCCCCGGACGACGCATTCCCTTACCTCGCTAATCCAGTAGTGAGACTGGTAAAGAGGAAAGGTTGGGCATGAGGCTAGCAACCCCATCCTTCAAGCCTCTAGCTTGTAGCCCTATGTTCCACTAGGAACGTGAAGGAAAAACATAATAAATCTCAAAGGAGGGTGTAGCAATAATAAGATTAGTAAGCAATTAAACTATTACGCAACAAGTTTATAATTATGTTAAAGCAACATTGCAAAAAATTAAATAAATACAAGTGACAAGTAAGATAATACCGCAAACTGTTCAAATTGAAATTAACAATAACAATCAACATAACAAGGGAAGGATATACACAAATTGAATAAACGAAACCAAAAATAAGGATGGGGATTATCAAACTTTACCCTAGATGGATTAAAAACGTGGGAATTCGAGGTCTGTACACAAACATCTGTGCGTCGGTGGCACAGCGGTAGAATGCTCGCCAACCACTGGTGTGATCCGGAGTCCAATCCCCGACCGACGCACTTCTTCTCCCGCTAAACCAGTAATAAGACTGGTAAAGAGGGATGGTTGGGCATGAGGCTAGCAACTTCATCCCGTAAAAATAAAAATAAAAAACTGCTACTGAAACTCCAAGCCTCTAGCTTCAAGCTAGAGGCTTCCACTGGGAACGTAAAGGAATAAAACAACATCTGGCATTTCTTTTTCGATAAGTCGGATATGTAATGATTTGAGCAAGTTATTTGTCGCTTTGTAGATGACTTTAAACTAAGAGACTGTAGGGATAAGGTTCACAAAATTCATATCATTTGTGTATACGTATGCGTTGTATAAATAGAGCTGTTATTTAGTTTCGCCCCGTCCATTTGTTATTTTCGTATTTTATTGTATTGCATAAACAATTGTCTACTATGTGTTGCTCATTCCTGTCCATCGCCTTCCTCGACAACAGGCGATGTCAGCAGATATAGGATCAGGTTGGAAAAGAGTTAGTGGTGAGTGATCAAACAAAAGCATAGCTTCATCAGTCAATGAAATCCACAGCAGTTAGTTTAGGCCAGGCCATGTAAGGAGGTGTAGACATCCTGACTGACTAGTTTGGGTCCTCGGGATGGTAAGAATCAATGACTGGAGACAGTCGGTGATACGGCTCAAAATCCTCGTTCTTAATGAATAGTGCAGGTGCATTCACTCTTTGTGATTTGTCATATCCAATAACATTCTTTGGTTCTCCCATTTAACTATTCTATTTCCCTCATATTTCTGTTTATTATCTCTTTTTTGAATATCTCTTTACTCTCTTGTCTTGCTTCGTGTGTTACATGGAGTGCGGCGACTCGAACTGCTGCACATCTATGAGGAGTTGAAACCAGTCACAGGATTTCATCGTGAGCTGACATTAGTTCGGTCTGTCTGTCTGTTTTCCACATAGAACTTTGCACAAATGTGCGACAGTTCAAGTCGCCACACTCCACTCCATGTAGCACACAAAGCAACAGAAGAAAGTACAAGAAATGCATAATAAAGACAGTAAACAGAGGTGTGAGACAAAGGAATAGTTATAACGAAGAATGATATAGTTTCATTGGAAATCATAAGTCACAGAGAGTGGATGCATCTGCGCCAGCCAGAAATTGAGAACGATTTTGAGCCATGTCACTGATTGTTTCCAACCATTGGTTTTTACCGTCATCCCGAGGACCTCAACCAGTCAGGAAGCCAGTCAACACCTTCCTACGTGTCTGGCTTAGACTAATTGTTGTAGATTTCATTGACTGATGGGGCCATGTTTTGGTTTGACCACCGCTGGCTAGCTCTTTTCCAGCCTGACCCCATGTCAGCTAACATTGCCCGTCGAGGAAGGCGATGACTAGGCAGGTATGCGTAACACATGTCCTAACCATCTCAGTCGATGTAACTTCACAAGCTCGTCTATTGATTTCCCGTCCTTACCTAGCACTCGACGCCTAACCTCAATACTGCTCACCCTATTACACCACTTTACACGGGAGATAGAGCGCAGGCACCTAGAGAACCATTGGAAACCAGTCAGTCAGTCATTTAGAAGAGCTTGGTGATAAATTGTAGGAAAAGAAGCACCTCGCTGAATCACTTATTATAATATTGAGGATACAGAAAAGTAATAGAAGCGGTAAACTCACTTTGATTTCTTCATTAGTGTCTCTGGTGAGGATGCACAGGATAAACCTAAAAGAAAAAGGGAAGTAAATAATCAGTCGTGAACGACATAGTTAGCCATCAGTGAAGATAGTAGTGAATGAAAGGGACTTATCACATTTAAGATTAAATAATACAACTCAACACTTTATTACTATTAAATATTCGAAACATGGAATGTACAGACATAAGACGGACACATGTATTACTTAAATGAGTATCAAGACTAAACTAATTACACTCAGAACTAAGTCAGTCAACAGTTGGTCAAGAAATCCAGACCTCCATTGTAGCACCATCCATTAATTAGTGTTTAGAATCCCTAGTATTATTTAACCAAGTTTCCCAATTCACTAATCACCTTCTTCATATACAATTCAATAAACTTGGTTACCAAACTCGCCCAGCTTACGAGTTCGATAGTTTTCTAGCCGGTCTTAAACTCGAGAAAGGAAGGAAGGCTGGGCATGGTGTAAGAGTCCCACTTCGCAAAATCAATCCAATCACCACAGAAACTTCAAAGCACAACAGAAGTATTTAAAAAAAACCAATCGGATTCTTTGGTGGAATTGGAGAAACGAAATGACGCGGAGTGCTGAAAGCCTTCGGGAAACCAGTCAGCCTATTTATCCTCTACCGATGAAAGTAAACATAAACATTCGGACGTGGAATGTTCTTAATATTTATGAACTTGAGATGGCTGCTCAGGTTGTCAGAAAACTGAAAAGATATGGCACATGTGTGCTCGGGATCTACGAAAGCAGGTGGAATGGATAGGAACTATCCAACTTCTAAACCGGAGGACCAATAATCTACTCCAGTAACCCAGGTGACATATTTCATCCATAGCATTTTTAGTCTCCCCAGGACGATGCGACTTGATATTTGCTTTGGAGTATGATGAGACACCAATTCTTTGGAAGATGAACAACACAGTTTTACCTGTAATCGGCAGATAGCCTTCCTTCCTAACATACCTTCTGTGATAGTAGTATGAGCATATCTAACGAGGTCCTTGAGTTCGTTTTCCCCGCTTCCGGAGGGACTCCATTTGGTCCCTCTACTGCTTTCCAGGGTTTAATAATTTGATGGCCCTCAAAACTTCTATTTTTATCGAAAGGTGAGTGTTCGCCGGTGATCTGTGTTTGCTGATGGTGCTTGTAGGCGAACTGCAGTTTATTAGGTCAAAGTTTATTGTCTAGAACTCTCTCTCTCGCTCAGTTACATTATTTTAAGATCAAGGCATAACGTTAACTGATAAAACTTTAACTACTGCATAAGCAAAACACTCATAAAAGTAATGAATACCTGTAAAGTTGTAGTGTAATCGGTGACTTATCTAACCAACTTTGAGGAAATGATGACTGATTATTCCCACCAGTCGGTTGAAAACCAATTTCGTCTAAACACGCCCTCCGTAAATTTATGTCACCAGACATATCATCATCATTATCGTCAATAACACCAATATTCTCTGGTGAATACCATCTCTGAAGTAATTCTTGTAAACAATCCATTTTACGATGTAATGGTAATTCAGAATTAAATGTCACCTTTTGTAAATTACTATTTGACCAGAATGATAAAAAGCGAACCTAAAATATTTACGATGAAAAATTCATGAGAACCTCAACTTTTATTACCATAGATAACAGAAAGAGTAAAGTGAACGATAATGAATGACAGTCAAGGTAGAAATATTCAAAACTATGAAATTACTAAGGCCTAAGGCACCCAGAATCAATTTCCCATGCCCCAGGCTATGGAGTCACACTTACTATGTGGGGATTAATAATAATACCCAGTGTTTAAAGCTGAATTAATTGAAGGGGTGCGGGTGGGGATGGCGTTGACCCTCAGAACTCATAGGCTGAAAGAAAGGTGACTGTGTACAAGCTAATAAATTCCATCTCCACAGTAAGCATCAATATTGGCCTCATCGCTAAGTTACCTAACTTTGAATATTAGAGTGAATATGACTCAGATTGCCCCCAAAATTGTAGTACAATTTGATAAGGAATGTTTAGATGATGATTTCAGGATAGCCTAGCAATTGACTACTATCATTTAAGACCAAACATTTACCTCAACTTTATAGACTCTGAGAAGGCCTTCAATAGCGTTGACCGCGAAGTAATTTGGAAACTACTCGAGTACTACAGCGTACAGCGCCCAAATATTCATCAACCTTATTCAACAGCTATACGACAACGGCCCATGTCAAGTGATCTACAACGGAAAACTCAGCGAGGTGTTTGGAGTAAACACAGGAGTCAGACAAGGCTGTCTGCCTATTATCACCAATGATATTCCTAATTGTGGTGGACTGACTGGATTATGTCTGAGACAGTGGGAAACGAGAACACAGCGATATCTTCGACCGACGTGAAGAACCTAGAAGACCTGAATTTCGCGCGTGGATGATTTATGCTTGATGTCACACAAAATCGAAGACTTACAAGCGAAAACCGACAAACTGGTCGAAGAAACAGCTGGCGAAGACCAGACTCCAGGTGAACATAGGTGAACAAGACGGAGGTTATGAAAATAACCAGCCAACAACAACAACAAAACCAACATCCAGCGCCAATCACCATCAACGGGAGGGATCTGAAAGAGGTTAGTTACTTCATTCACTCACTTATCTAGCATTCAGCATTGTCTCAACTACAGGAAATCGGAACGGACGAGGATGTCAAATCGAGCGAGAATCGGGAAGGCGAGAAACACATCAACATCATCAACCTGAAACCAATCTGGAAATCTTCATCATTCAGCCACCATCAACAACAAAATTCCGTTGGATTTTCAATACAAACGTCAAGTCAGTCAGTTCTTCTATACGGATTAGAAACTTGGTAGGCGGGTCACAAAGAATATTTCCAACAACCTGTTGCAGACGTTACCTTTATCAACCAGCAACTGTCTTCGCTGGATCTATACTGAAGATCAGATGGCCGGGCCGGAAAGAATCACCAACAAGAAACTATGGAAACAAACAAAACAAGAACAAACCAATCGCCAACCAACAAATATGCAGGAGATGGAGTGGAGATGGATTGAACACTCATTGAGGAGGCCACTGGGTGACATCGCGCGTCAGACCATTGCTCGAGTGGAACCCTAAAAGGAAGAGGCGGGTAGGTCGTCAGTGCAAGGGTGACACGGAGAAGATCGTGTGAAGAGGAGTTGAAACAGTATGGACTAACATGGATTCAGGTGAAAAGTACAGCAGAAGGAAGACAAAAGTGGCAAATGGAGATGTGCATTTGAAGCCCTATGTTCCACTAGGAACCCAAGGGAACAATAAATAAAATTAAAAAATATTTAAGACGTGAAGTATTATATACATCAAGACTACTAATTAACTTAATTGCTCAAAGAATAACAAATGTACATAGCAATGTAAACAGATTTGGGATCTCTAACATTTATAAGTCATACTACATCATAGTTTATTTTAAAACAGATTGATGCTAATAGACATAACAAATTGCTAAGACCTCATTGGTTACGACTTCTCACTAGAACTCCAGGAAGCTTCGTCGTGTAGGAAGTCACTAGCAAGCATCAAATTGATTTTCAAGAGTTTGGTTTGTAAAGTGGGAGCGCTAAAATCATGAATCGGTGTAAGTTAGAAACTCATGAATCATTTGATCGGGTCCCAGTGGTTGAATGGGATACGAGCCAGCTCGCCTTGTAACCGGAAGGCACTGCGGTCGAAACCTAGGGGGTGCGTGCTGCCGATGAGTCCCAAACTAGAACGAAAAAGATGTCCATTACTCCCTGGTTTTCAATGGTTCTCTAACTGTGATCAAGCTAGAAAAAAAAATCAACACTTGAAAACTGCATAGACTCAAACAACAAAGCAATCGTTGAAAAGGTAGTTAGCGTCACCAAGTTTCACAGTAAACATCTTTCTAAATTGCTAATATCTATTGTATCGCTATCTTATCTCCAGTGAACAGCTGTTTCGCCCCAGCCTGTTCGGACTACTCCTCAGAAATATGCCGGCTGTAAGGCTATGTACTGCAAATCGACAGAAGTTAGAATTTATTCAAAATTGCATTCTGTTTCAGTAGCTAAACAGTAATTTTTTGATTATAGCTTCAAACCACACAATATTTTTGATATAAGTATGGAATTTTCAGCATGGATATCGGTAGCCCGAAATTTGCAGGCCAACCATAGATATCAGGTGTGCGTCGGTAGAGGATCGAACCCCGGACTATATGCATGGTCGGCGGGAGTCCTCTAACCGCTGTGCTACCGACGCACGTTCACCTAATGACCTGAATGTATCGTGTTCGATCTCCGATGTGCTCATGGGTGAGTAAAGGTGTAGAGAACCAAGCTAAGATAACACAATTGTCCAGTACTACCTTGTTTTCAACGATTTTCTAAATGGTGTC